AGAGATAAAGTCTGGCCACCCAGGCTTCTAAGGACTGTACTTCTTTCAACACAGAAATGTTCATTCTTTTAGCAGTACATGGTACTTCTAATATTCTTCTCCAATACCTTAACTCAAATGCATCAGTTCTTCTAAGGTCTTCCTTATTCATGGTTCAAATTTAAAATGCATATGAAGCTACTGAAAATAACATGGCTTAGGTCAGGTGTACCTTAGTCCTCAAACTCACATCTTTGCTCTTGAACATTTTAAAGAAGTCTTGTGCAGCAGATTTGCCTAATGAAGTACACTGTTTGATTTCATGACTGCTGCTTCCATGAGTATTGATTGTAGATCCAAACAAAATGAAGTCATAGACAACTTCAATATTTTCTCCATTTATATGGATGCTATTTATTGGCGTTGTGAGGATTTTTGTTTTCTTGACATTGAAGTGCAACCCATACCAAAGGTTGTGGTTGTTGATCTTTATCAATAACTATTTTAAGTCCTCTTCCCTTTCAGCATGTATGATTGTATCATCTGCATACCACAGGTTGTTAATGAATCTTCCTCCAACCCTGATGCTATGTTCTTCTACATATAATACAGCTTCACAGATAATTTGCTCAGCATACAGATTGAATATGTATGGTAAAAGAATACAACCCTGATGCACACCTTTCCTGATTTTAAACCAACCACTGTTCCCTTCTTTTTTTCGATTGACTGCATCTTCTTGGTCTAAGTACAGGTTCCTCATGAACAAAACTAAGTGTTCTGGAATACTCATTCTTGGCAATGTTTTCCATAGCTTGTCATAACCCACAGAGTTGAAAGCCTTTGTGTAGTCAATAAATTTTTCAGCCAAGATCCATCTGACATTAGCAATGGCATCCCATTATTACACATCCTTGTCTGAATCCAACTTGAACCTCTGGCAGGTCCCTGTCAATGTACTTTTGCAACCATTTTTGAATTATCTTTAGCAAAATTTATTTGCATGTGATATTAATGAAATTGTCTGATAATTTTCACATTCCAAACGGTCACCTCTCTTTGGAATGGGCATAAATATGGATTTCCTCCCAACAGTTAGCCAGGTAGCTGTCTTCCAAATTTCTTGGCATACATGAGTGAATGCATCCAGTGGTACATCAGATTGTTGAAAGATTTCAGTTTGTATTCAATCAATTCCGAGATCCTTTGCCAATATTGGCTCTTGATCATATGCTACCTCTTCAAATGGTTGAACATCAACCATTTCTTTTTGGTTTAGTGACTGTATTCTTTCCATCTTCTGTTTATGCTTTCTATATCATTCAATATTTTGCCCAGAGAATCCTTCAATATTGTAAGTCAAGGCTTGAAATTTTTCTTCAGTTCTTTCAGCTTGAGAAATGCTGAATGTGTTCCTCCCTTTTGGTTTTCTAACGTCTTGTATTTGCACATTTCACTATGATATTTCATTTTGTCATCTCAAGCTGCCCTTTGAAATGTTCTGCTCAGTTCTTTTACTTCATCATTTCTTCCAGTTGTTTGAGTTTCTCTACACTCAAGGGTAAGTTTTAGTCTCTTATGATATCCACTTTGGCCTTTTCTTTCCTTCCTGCCTTTTTAATGACTTTTTTTCTTTCTTCCTGTATGATGTCCTTAGCTGCAGGATAATGCACTAGACCACAAGGTCAGTTTGAGCCTCAAGGTTGGCAATTCAAGCCCACCAGCTGCTCCAAGGAAACCCTATAAAGGTGGCTATGAGTCGGAACCAACTCAATAGCACTTAGTAACAATTTCTCTGGTCATTAGTACCTAATGCATCAAATCTGTTCTTGAGATGGTCTCAAAATTCAGGTGGCATATATTCCAAGTCATATTTTGGCTCTCATGGACTTGCTTTAATTTTCTTCAGCTTCAGCCTAAACTTGCATATGAGCAATTCATGGTCAGTTCCACATGATAATATGGAGCTTTTCCACAATCTCTTTCCACACATGTAGTTAATTTGACTTCTGTGTATTACATCTGGTGAATTCTGTGTGTATAGTCCTCTTTTATGTTGTTTTAAAAAGGAATTTGTAACGAATAAGTCATTGGTCTTGAAAATTCTACCATGCGATCTCCAGCATATGTTCTATCACCAACACCATAATTTTAAACTACTGATCCTTCTTCATTGTTTCTAACTCTTGTATTTCAATCACCAGTAATTATCAATACATCAATACATGTTTGATCCATTTCAGATAGAAGAAATCGAATTCTTCAATTTCATCATCACTGTCTTAGTGGTTGGTGCATAAATTTGAATAACAGTGGTATTAACTGGTCTTCCTTGTAGGCATATGGATAATATCCTAGCATAGACAGCATTATATAATATCCTATCATAGACAGCATTATACTTTAAGATAGATCTTGAAATGCTCATTTTGATGATGACTGTGATGCCATTCCTGTTCAATTTTTCATTCCTGGCATAGTAAACCATGTGATTGTCAGATTCAAAATGGCCAGCCAATACCAGTCCATTTCAGGTCACCAATGCCTAAGATATCAATCTTTATGCATTTCATTTTTTACATTTTCTAATATTCCTAGATTCATATTTTGCATAGTCCATGTTTTGATTATTAATGGATATTTGCATCTGTTTCTCCTTTAGCTTCTGTTTATCTGGAAATGTCCTAATTTTGACAGACATTTTACTGATTATATGATTTTTGGCTGACAATATTTTCTTTCAGAATTCTATATGTATCATCCCATTGCTTTCTTGCCTGCATGGTTTCTGCTGAGAAATCAGTGCTTAGTCCTATTGGTTTTCCTTGAAAGGTAACTCTTTATTTTTCCTGAGGTGCTCTAAGTGTTCTTTCCTTATCTTTGTTTTTGGAAAGTTTGATTATAACATGTCTTCATGCTTTTCTTTTGGACTTTATCCTGTTTGGGATCATTCCGCTTCTTGAATGCTTATTTTCTCATCTTTCATGATGTTAGGGAAGCTCTTTTCCAACAATCATCTCTTTAACAATTATCTCTGTGCTTTTTATTTTTTCTTTGTATCTCTTATTCTAGAATTCTGATCACCCATAAATTATTCCTCTTGTTGATGTCCCACATAATTCTTATCCTTTCTTCAGGTTTTTTCCTTCTTTTTTTTCTAATTGTTCTTCTAATAAACTAACATTGAGAGATTTGTCTTTAAGCTCACAGAGTTGAACTTCCATTGATTCAGTTCTACTTCTCTGCCCCTTCAATGTATTATCCATTTCTGACATCTTGTATTAATCTTCTGGATTTCTATTTGATATTTTTGTATGGTTTCTAATTTTTTATCTATTTTATCAGTTTGTTCTTATAGTGTTTTCCTGAATTCTTTTAAAGTTTTATCTGTGTTCTCCTTGCTTTCATCGAAAGTTTTTTAGATCTTTCTTTCAATCCACTGAAGGTAACTATGATTTTTTTAAGTTCTCTACCAGTTAATTCCAATATCAGTTCTTTCTCAGAAATATTTTCTGGTTCGGCATATTGGTCACATGTTTGAGTCTCTCTGTCTTGTTTCTTTGCATGAACTGAAATTGTCTGTTGTCTCTGAGACATCATGGTGTCATTGTATTTCTATTTAATTGATTACTGTATGTTGGTTTATTGTTAGGCACTCACCACCTGTTAAATGTGCTAGAGAATGGAAGTGTGTGCACAATTCTCTGTTTGCTGTTCAGGGTGGGTTTGGCTGATATTGGCTGCTTTCTATCAATCTAGTGGTACAGGTACTGGTAGTGGCTCCTGCTCAGTGTATGGGGCTTCAGGAGTTATGGGTGTGGCTGGACTGTATGGGTACAGTTGCTATCTCCTTTCAGATGGGGCAAGAGAAAAAAATGACAAAAAAACAACAGCAAAACAATTAAAATAATGCAGAAGAAAAAGAACCCAGCAGGCAACAGCAAGAATAAATAATATAATAACTAAAAAGAGAAAAAAAGGGAAGGGAAAATAATACAAGAGGATAGAAAATTAAAAAAAAGATAAAAATCCAATGAAACAAAACTAGGGTGAGGAAAAGGAAAAGTGAAAGAGATAAGAGAATAATAAGAAAAATTAAGAGAAATAAAGAAAGAATGGCAGGGTAAAAAAGAAAAAAATAGAAAAAAGAAAGCATTAAAAACAAGGGAAGGTTGAGAGAAGAAGATAATAATAATAATAAAGGAACAAACTAGGACAAGAGCTGGATTCAGAGAGGAGAAAACTGTAGGGGACATGGTATTTGGTATGGGTTGTCACCTTCTGCCAGCCAAGGAGCTTACCAGGTAGAGGGGGGAGGGGTAACAGGGTGGCATGGAGTTCCCATAGGCCTAGGTGGTGTTTATGTTCAGGGCACAAAATTGAAGTAGTTTGTGCAGATTTCAATGGCACTGATGCCATGGTCTTTGTTCCCAGAAGGAACTCTTTCAGAACCAGAGGACAGCTGGGAGCAGGGTGGTGGACTGTGGGAATTCCTACTTGTCCAGAGCTGGCCTGATACTAGCACTGTGCATTCTTCTGGTCTGACAAGAAGTTCACATGCCTCCAGATTTGGGGGTGATACACCCAGTGCCCAACTCACAACAGCATGACTCTGACCTCTGGCAGAGCCACTGCTATGCAAGGATGGGGGAGTGTGGGGGTTATCCATGATTCTGGGGAACAAGTAAGACTCAAATATTTCTCATTGCCAGCCACTTGTGAGCATCTGCACTGTCACGTTGCCATCTAGATTAAACGCTGTTGCTCACAAAAGTTCAGGATGGCTACACCACATCAGGCCAACAGACAGTTCACATGTCTGTCTCCTCTCTTTCCACCCCAGTTCAGCTTCTTCTCTTATTCAGTGGTCAATCTACTTCTCTATCCTTTCTTTTGAAGCTCAGGGTTCCAGGATTATCATCTGTATATGTTTCATCTGATTGCTTGCATCTTTGTTGTAGAGGATCTGTGTAGTCCACCATCTTGCCAAAAGTTTGCCTTTTCTTATCTTTTTATATAAGTGAGGGTCATACAATATTTATGCTTTTGTGACTGACTCAGCATAAAGTCTTCAAGATCCAGCCATACTGTAGCATGTATCAAGTCTTCATTTCTCCTACCGACTGAGTAGTTAGTATTCCATTGTATTTATATACTATTTTGCTTATCTGTTCTTCAACTGATGCGTATTTATGTTGTTTCTACCTTTTGGTATTCAAGTCTCTTTGAGTCTCTGCTTTCAAGTCTTTTGGGTATATACCTAAGACTGCAATTGCTGGGTCATATAGTAGTTTTGGAGTTCTGGTGTGGCACTGTAGGATAAGCACTGGACTGCTAACTGCAAGGTTGGTGATTCAAATCCACCAGCCTTGCCTTGGAAACCCTATACAAGGTTGCTATGAATCAGAACTGACACATGACACTTATCAACAGCAATGGCAGTTCTATTTTTAGTACTTTAAAGAAATGCCATACAATGGCTGTACCATTTTGCGTTCCCACCAGCAATGTATAAGGGTTCCAATTTCCCCATAGCCTCACCAACATTTGTTATTTTCAGGGTTGTGGCTTTTTTGGTTTTTACATTAGCTATCCTAATATAAATGAAATGGCATCTCATTGTGGTTTTGATATGCATCTCTCTGATGGCTAATGACATGGAACATGTTTTCATGTGCCTGGTGGTTATTTGAAAGTCCTTTGTCATGAATGTCTATTCAAGTCCTTCGTCATATCTATTTTTTTTGGTCAAATATGTGGTTTCTGAAAATATTCTCCCAATAGGTAGCTTGTCTTTTGGTAAAGTCTTTTTTAAAATATTTTTATTGTGAATTGAGTGAAGATTTGCAGAGCAGTATTATCTTCAGCAAATCATACCATTTAGTTTGTATTTTGCATTTTGTGCTTTTGTTAATCCATTGTTAAATGCTAGGCCTGACAGTGTTGTTCCTGCTTGTTCTAGGTCTAAAAGTTTTATGGTTTTTGTTTGTACATTTAGGTCCCTAATACATCTTGATTTTGTTTTTGTGTATGGTATAAGACATGAATCCTATTTCATTTTTCTGCATGTGGAAATCCAGTTTTCCCAATGCCATTTATTGAAGAGACTCTTCTTTCTCTATCAAAAATCAGTTGATTATAGATATCTGGGCTTATTCAGGACTAACAGTTCTATTCCATTGGTCTATGTGTCTACTGTTTTGATTATTGTAGCTTTATTTGCTTTTGTTAAGCCCTATCAAGTTTCTCAAGGTGCTCTCGTAGCATAGTGGTTACAAATCGGGCTGCTAATCTCACAGTCAGCACTTCCAAACTACCAGCTGTCCTGTGGGAGAAAGATGAGGCTTTCTGCTCCCGTGAAGATTTACAGCCTCAGAAACCCTGTACAGGGTTGCTATGAGTCAGAACTGACTCCACAGCACATAACAACAACAACATCAAGTTTCTACCGACTCCTAGTGAACCTGTACAGAGTTTCCAAGGAGCAGCTGGTGTGTTTGAACTACAGACCTTGTGGTTAACAATCCAGTGCTTATCCTACAGTGCTATATGGTGGTGGTGGTGACTGTGTGCCACTAAGTTGGTTCAAATTCTTAGTGATATTGTATAGGGTTTCTGAGGCTATAAATCTTTACAGGATCAGAAAGCCTCATCTTTCTCCTGGCCAGCAACTGGTAGATTGAAATTGCTGCCCTTGAAATTAGCAGCCAAATTCATAATCTACTACACTACCAATGCTCCTTAGTAGTTGTATTTGTTGTTGTTGTTAAGTGCCATTGTGTTAGTTCTGAATCATAGTGACCCTGTATAGGGTTTCTGAGGAGCAGCTGGTGAGTTTCAACTGCAGACCTTGTGGTTCACAGTCCAGTGCTGACTGATACTACAATGCCACACCAGGAATCCTAGGAGCTATATGTTGTTGTTAAGTGTCTTTGAGTTGATTCCAACTCATAGTGACCCTGTATCGGGTTTCCACTTAACCTTCCAGTTCAAACTGATTTTGCAGTCCAGTGCTTATCCTACAGTTCCACACTAGTACTCCAGGAGCTGTATAGTATGGTTTAAAATCAGGACATGTGATTCCACCTACTTTGTTCTTCTCTTTCAACATTGCATTAATTATTTGGGATCTCTTGCCATTCCATATAAAGTTGAGGATTGTTTTTTGCTTTTTCTGTAAAGACAGTTGTTGGGATTTTTATTGGGATTGTATTAAATTTAGTCACTCTTTCTTGACAGTTTCTTTTTTCTTAGGTTCTACAGACACTGCACTTTCTTGGTTCGTCTCAAGTCCCTTCCATATCTACATTCTATGGCTCTGAGTCAATGAAATATATCTGAAATCTTTTTTTTTTATATTTCAATATATTATAACTTTTTTTAATGTTAGGTTTTGTAGCTACTCCTGTCTACTTTAGTGTTTCAGTAATTGATTTAATTGTACAAAATCAGCTGGATCTTTGCTAATTTATATGTAATCTGTTTGTTTTTCTTCTTCATATAAAAGTATATACATTTTAAAGGTGTACTACACTATACTTACATTGAAAATACCTACACGTTATATTCTAGAACAACATCCTATTGCTTATGCCTAATATTAGCATTTCAAAAATGTATATGGGTCAGAAGTCATTGATCTTGTTCCATCTAGTTTGGATATTTTAAAAATGAAACAACAACCTTGTAAGGTAAGTGAAGGCATGCTGACCAACCATAAGAACCAGAATTCACCAACAGTCATAAACAAAGAGCCACAAATAACATATTTGACAGTTTAAGACTGAATTTATATATTACACAGAAATAGATTGTAGTGGTTAAGTGAATCCTTTTGTGGGTCCATGTAACATCACTTGAAAACATCAAAAGGACATAATATTACAATACAATTTTTATTAATTGTTTTCTTTCACACACACTTTAGGTGTTATACTTGATATCTTTAGGAGAACTGCATGAGACCCCAGAGTAAAAGATTAGCTATCCCACAAATCTTCTGATAAGAAGTTTCCCTTGTCCTTATTAAAATACTGGCAATGTGGAATTGTGTGAAATGATAAGGTCAAAAAAGCAAATTTTGAGGGTACAAAGTTGAAAATGACCATCAATGCTAAGGCAGTAGTTAGGAGTGGGGATAAGGATTCTTAGACTATTCCCAATGCAAGCCACATAAAAGAGTAGCTGAAGTTTTGTTTTGTTTATCACCAAAGAATATCTGAATTTGAAAGACCTTGAACACAAAGGAGCTCTCTTGATCCATGGAACATAAACATGTCAGTGTCTCAACAAGGCATGATATACTATCATCCCTGTTCTAACAAGAGAAATTCAGTGACTTGCCCAAAGTGGAAAGAATCAAGGGATAAGTCAACAGACTCTCAAATCTTTGTCAAGAACTTAAAACCAGTTAATTTGCACATAATATGACAATGGTTAGTTGTTGCTTTCTCTCTCCCCTTTCTCTCTCTTCTCCCCTCCTTCATCTCTCTTCCTCACCACCTGAATGCTTGATATGCTGATTCTTATTATATCATACAGTTTTGTTCTCAAGTAGTATAAGAGATTGTTGTTGTTGTTGTTAAGTGCCATTGAGTTGTTTCCAACCCATAACGACCTTGTACAGGGTTTCTGAAAAGTGGCTGATAAGCTTGAACTGCCAACCTTGTGGTTCACACTAACTTTGCAGTCCACCGCATTAACCCACAGCACCATACCAAAACTCCATGAGATATTAGAGTACTCAAATTAATAGACTTTGGTATTCATATTATAGGTGTGGGTTTTGTACAACCCATAGTTACAAACCAACCCTTGTAAAGCCTTCCCTCCCCCTCCTGGTTCCCTGGGTCCACACAAGAAGGAAATGGTGTGATGCTGTCTGGTTAATCACAGCTCCAGACACTCACTGGCCCTGCACTCCATAGCTGCATCCTTCTCCTCCTGTTCCTCCCACTCCAGTTCCTACTCTTTGCAGCCTCTGCAGCACCACAACCATCCCCTCTGTGTTTGTGAACATTTCTGCTCTCTGAGACCATCACCTCTAGTCAACCACCCACCCTTCCCATGGCTATCCTCCCTGGCCAGCCCTATGCCCCTCTGTGCCTTAGGAAGTTTATTCCACCTGTCCTCCACCCTGTCTTTCTCCTCTTTACCCCCATCTCCTGTTTCCATTTCTTCCCCACCCACCTACTCATGCTGGCTTCTTTTGCCAGACTACTCTCTGGCCAGCCCTTGGCCCCCCACACCTCTCCACTACAGCCACTACCTATGCTGAGGGTCTCCTTGGCCTTGTAGAGCTGGGCACCCTAACCACTATACCACCCTACCCCCCATATGCAAACTGACTGGCAGGCTCCCATTATGCCTTCCCCAGTTCAGTAACTAGCATCAAAACATTATTATTATTGCATTATTATATTAAATTAGTTTCTAGTGTATCTGGAAGTGTTTCCTTAACATATTTTATGCACAGAAAGGTACACTATATGGAATCCTGGTGTGGGGCTGTAGGGTAAGCACTGGACTGCTAACCACGAGGTCATCAGTTAAAACCCACCAGTCCCTCATTGGAAACCCTATACAGGTCGCTATGAGTCAGAACCGACTTTACAGCACTTAACAACGACAACAAGATGAACTAACTGACTTCAGATGGGAATCTTACCTAATTGTTCTGACTTAAATGCAAATTTGACTTACAGGATGGAAATTGTTCTGAATCCAGGAACTGCCTGTACTAGAGAACCACTTATATATGCCATATAAAGTTAACCAATTTTTAAGAGTGAGAATATAATAAAATTTGCTCATAACTAAAAATACACTGTACATTAAATTATCTTTTGTGACTGGTTCAGCCTTGCCCTGGAAGGATGTCTGTAGTTAGTAAAAGGCACCATCTATAGAATGACTGGACTATAATTGACTGCTCTAGGTAAAACTGATCCTTAGGTCTATGGGTAAAGAAAATCATCTAGATTATTTTTAGAGTAAACATTGCCAGAATTGTTATCTAAAATACTAAAAATCCTACAAACTCAAGTAGTCTTGATACCTTGTTGTTGTTAAGTGCTGTTGAATTGACTCCAACTCATAGCAAATCTGTGTAGGGTTTCTGAGGAGCAGCTGGAGGATTTGAACCACCAACCTTGAGGCTCAGACTGACCTTGAGGTCCAGTACATTATCCTGCAGCACCGCACCAGGACTTCCTTGTATTTACCTTTATTTTCAAATTCAAAATCCCAACTTTCTGTTCTTAAAAGGAGTATTGTGGGTGAAGAAGGGGCTGGCCTTCAAGCGACAGCAATGCAAGATGGCAGCCACCACGGGCTGGGACAATTTATGAAAACCGGATATACAGCCTTAAAATAGAATGTGGACCTAAATACCCAGAAGCACCCCCCTTTGTAAGATTTGTAACAAAAATTAATATGAATGGAGTTAATAGTTCTAATGGAGTGGTGGACCCAAGAGCCATATTAGTGCTAGCAAAATGGCAGGATTCATATAGCATCAAAGTTCTCCTGCAAGAGCTTCGGCAACTAATGATGTCTAAAAATATGAAACTCCCTCAACCACCTGAAGGACAGTGTTACAGCAATTAATCAAAAAGAAAAACCACAGGCCCTCCCCTGTCCCCACCCTCATTCGATTTATGCAGTGTTCATTTTCCACACTAGTAAAATTTCTAGATACGTCTTGTAGATCTCAATGTACTGGAAAGGAAGCTCCCATTTAAGGGCAAGTTATCTTAAGATACTGTAAATGATACTAATTTTGTGTCTATTTGAAATACATTAGTTGTGCTATAACAAAAAAAAAAAAAAAAGGAGTATTGTGGTACCTCATTTTGAAATTCTGTAGAAACATCTTCATCTTTAGGACTTTTAAGAGACTACCCCTAGAAGTAATGTTTACTATGTTGCATTGCCATAACTTCACGTTTAAATTGGTTTGACAAAATGCCAATTTATCAAGAGTCCCAGGTGGTATGGTGCCAGTGACAAAGAGTTTGCTGTTACATGCCAAAAGTTATATTTAAGTTTCTGGTACAAATTAGTAATTACTTATAACATTTTATAAACACAAGAAATCATCCTAAAAGTCTTTAATTCAAAGGTAACATCATTTATTCTATAAGTTTGGGGAAATTTTGCAGTATCAAAGAGATCCGTTGTTGTTGTTAAGTGCTATCAAGTCAGTTCCAACTCATAGTGACCCTGTATAAGGTTTCCGAGGCTGTAAATCTGGGAGCAGAATCATCTTTCTCCTAAAGAGCAGCTGGTGGGCTCAAACCACCAAACTTGTGGTTTGCAGTGCAGTCCTTATCTTACAGAGTCACTGTACTCCCAGTGTCAAAGAAAGGATGATGGTTAGTAACAATGTATAATGGTTAGTAATGAAAGCTACTAACAATGACCTCTCATCTTGTGCCAGGTAATTATTTGCCAAATACTTTTATATGTATTATGCCATTTACTTGTATATATTTTTTTGGTGAAAATAGTATAACAAAGCATAGACCAGCTCAACAATTTCTATGTACATTCAGTAACATTGATTACATTCTTCAATTGTGACATTTTTCTCTATCTCCTTTCCCATCATGAACACAAACTCACTGTGCCCTGAGCTTCCCATCTAATATTCGGGTTGCTCTTAAAAATTTGATCACATACAAATAATTCTTTAAAAGAGCACAATACTCAGGGAAAACATTCTTTATTAATTAAAGTAAACAATCATTTGGTTTGGCAGTGACTTCGGGGTATAGTTTTGGTAAAGTTTAAATGTTTCTTTAGGGAAATAGTTTTAAGGGGTCATCCAGTCTCAATGACTCCAAAATTTTTCAATTCCATCATAATTTGGAATTCTGTTCCACATCCCCCACCCCATCTGACCAGGATTCTCCTATAGAATCTTTTACCCAAATGTTCACTAATGGTAGCCAGGCACCATCTAGTTCTTTTGACCTCATGGCAAAGGAGGCAGTTATTCACAGAGGCAGTCAAGTATTATGTTATTTAAATCCATATTAACAAACAAATCTATGGCTTAGATATTATTATTAATTCCATTTTGCAAACAATAACCCAAACCAACAAAAGGAGGTGTGTGGGGGGGGGAGGGGGGAAGAGGGAAGTCTGTAGACTATTTTGCTCTGAAAAAAATAACCTGTAGATGCAAAAACACATTTAGAATTAAATCTGATGGTTCCTATGGAGGAGTATTGGGAGTCCTGGTGTGGCACTGTGGGTTAATGCACCAGACTGCAAAGCCGTTTGAACTACAAGGTTGGCAGTTCAAACTCATCAGCTGCTCCTTGGAAACCCTATACAGGGTCACTATGGGTTGGAACTGACTCAATGGCACTTCACAACAACAAATGAAGTATTAATATTTAGTAAGTGTCAACCATGTGCCAGGAACTAGACCAGGTACTTTACATATGTTGTTTCATTTAAAATTCCAATCAACCTCATGAGAGGTTACAGATATAAGGAAGAGAGGTTCAAAGAATTTAAGAAATTTACCCAAGATCACACTACTCGTGAGGGTAGAGCTGGAATGTGAATCTAGTATTGGTCTGATTCCAAAATCCATACTCTTTCCACTATGAAACAAAAATCAAACCAGTAAGGGAGGGGGAAATTTTAGTTTAATAATAAATTCCATATTTTGATTTTTTGGAACTAAAACCTTAGTCATGAAAGTTAATTCCAAAATCAATGCCAACAATAAATTCCATTTCTCCTGTATGTATGTAGTTTTTCATACTAAGGGACACAGTTACAGCATTCTGATCACTTTTAGTGTTCAAAGCAGAGACTGGAAAGAGATTGAAAAGATCCCAGAAATCTTTTCAGACCAAATAATGGAAAAATAAACATTTAAATCAGAGTGATCCAGATTTGTCTTCATGCAACAGGGCAGCTTCTTCTTAGATGATTAAGTAACTCTTCCATGCCATTAGATCCAGATCTCCCCCTTGGTACAGGGGAAGAAGCTAATCCCTGTACCCTCAGAGGTCTGAAAGCTTGGATAGACTCTCCAAACAAACAAACAAAAAAAAACTCCATCAGCATTTCTCATCAGAATCTTTTGAAGCAACTGTTAAAAATGCAGATTCCCAGCCCTAAACTCTGAGAGCAAGACATATAAATCTGCATTTTAACAAGGGTCTCAGATAACTTGTATACACAGTAGTTTGAGAGGCACCGTGCAGAGCAATAGAAACTCTCCTTTCTCAGGCCTTACCAACAGCATAAAAGGTACCATTAAATCTGTTCTACTTCATGGCGATCCCATGAAGTAGAACTGTGTTCCATAGGGCCTTTAATGACTGATTTTCAAAAGTGGATCACCAGGCATTTCTTCCACAACACTGCTGGGTAGCTCTGAACTACTCACCTTTCAGTTATTAACAAATTGTGCCACATAGGGACCTTTTCATTCAGGCCCTCCTACTTTTGAATTTGGCATGCTCAGACACATGTAAGCGGAATTGATCTTTACCCTATACTTGGAGAGAAGGGTTTTTTGAGTTAATTAATAAGTCACTAGAGAAGGATATCATATTTGGTAGGGTAAAGGGTCAGAGAAAAAGAGGAACCCCAAGCAAGATGGACTGGCAAAGTGGCAGCATCAATGGGCTCAAGTGTGGCAACAATTGTGAAGTTGGCCCAGGACCGGGCAGTGTTTCGTTCTGTTGTACATAGGGTCACTATGAGTCGGTACTGACTTGATGGCACCTAACAACAACAACAACATTAACAAGATGCTTATCACACATTTTTAAAGTACCTTAGAAACACTTCTCCATAAACAGAAGGTAAAGATTAGTTCATATCATTCTTATCTACTCATCATAAAGGACATAGGATCTGTAACACGTTCATGTAAAATATTTCAGCAGCCTTCCTTTGGCCTGTGACAATCCCTATATTAAGCTCAATGTTTACTAAAAACATATTCTATAATTCAGACTTTAATTAAAATCATCTTACTTCAATTGAGCCCTAAATAATGAAGTTGAGCCATATTTCCATTCTCACAACAGAGATCAAATCTAAAAGCAAGAATTATTAGCCTCCATAATAAATAGTAATTAGTAAAGTGCTCCCATGTAGCAGGCACTATTACAGACATGAGATACTCCTTGGATTAACGGGCTCCATCATGAGACAATTCCGCCACTGTATCACCACCTCTTGAAGATTCACAATGCCCATGAGCCTGTTAAGGACTCCAAGAAGGCTTTGCAGTAAAGAAATTGATTTCTTTTTCTTATCTCAAGAGTTAACAAAATCTATTTCTTACCTAGTGTGGTGCTGTAGGATAAGCACTGGACTGCAAGGTCAGTTTGAACCACAAGATAGGTGGTTCAAACACACCATATATATTGGTAACCATATACAGGGTTGCTATGAGTCAGAACTAACTTGATAGTACTAGACAACAACATTTCCTACCCGTTAGAAGGAAAACCTCCTGACATACACTTTAAGATATTCTGCTATGCATCAGTCTATAGATTTAGGGCCCTACCTCAAACCTGTAGAGTTACTGCAGGAATCTGTGTTTTGAACAACTCTCTAGGTGGTCCAAAGCTATAGGCCATACTAGAAGAATTGGTGGTTGTCTTAAAGGTGTCAGTCAAGGTAAATCTTTTAAGCTACACTAGCAAGGCTAACTAAATACTTCCAAAAAAAAAAAAAAAAAATCAAAGATGGAATCTACCGGGTGACCACATTTTAACATTTGATGTTTCACTATCTGGCCAGTGTGGGTGGGGGGCAAGCTGCCATTTTTCTTATATGTAAAATGAAAATGATTATCCCTACCTCAGAGACCCTGGACTCCTGGTATGGCACTGTAAGATCAGCAAACCACAATGTTGGCAATTCAGACCCACTAGCTCCTCCTCGGAAACCCTATACAGTGTTGCTATGAGTCGTAACTGACTCAAAGGCACTTAACAATAACACCTCAGAGAGCCAGTGTGAGAATTCAATGAATACATGAAAAGTATCTGTTATAAACAGGAAGCTCAAAAAAAATGTTTCTTCTTTGTCTATCCTTCTCTCCTTAACCTCTTCCCCTGTTATAGCCTCTTTTTTCTCCCACACAGCAGCTGGTGGGTTTGAACCACTAGGTTAGTAGCCCAATGCTTATCTCACAGCATGAATTTGTTGTTGTTTTGTTAAGTGCAGATAGCATTCCAGTGTTTATCCTATAGTGCCACACCAGAACTCCACAGTATGAATAGCTACTTCAAAATCAACAGCAAAGTGTCCTATGCTCCTGCAATAATTAAGTTGATGTCACAGTGGTACAATCTCAGAAACCCTGTTATAAGGTCACTATGAGTTGGAATCAACTCGATGGCAGTGGATTTGGTTTGGTTTGGACTGATTATCTTCCAAGGATAAAGTTTCCTTTAATGAGCCCACATGTCAGCAATACAAGGTAAAGTGCAAGGTCTCAATTCAATTTGATTAGCTAAATGTCACCATGCACTGGGGTACACTGAGATGAAAAAAAAAAAAAGAAAGAAAAGTTCCACCCTCAAGTTGCTGATGGCATAGTAATGAAAATACCTAGT